TTATGGCATTACTTTGGATTCATTCTACTGTAAATGAGATCAGAATCTGTTCTGTTGTATTAGATTTTTTTCCCCTCCAAGATTGCATTTCTATCATCCTTTTGTATAATTTTGAACACAAATAGCAGCAGAGTGTATGTTTAAAGTAGTGCTGCAGCCACTTCCATATGCTCATCTGTACCTTGAGGCTGACCAGACTTTGGCCTCCTCTGTACTCTGCAGGCAGTCTGGCTGGCAGGCTCTCCCAGGCTGAGGAGACTAGCTCACTGCGCAGCTACCAGTTGCTTTCTGTGGTACAAGGAGGCACTTTTAAACTATTGAGGACACTGTGTCAGTTTGTGAACCAGTTTTGCAGGAAAGAGAGAGAAATCAGAAAGCCGTTATGGGTTCTGCCATACTGAGGTACTAAATCTGTGGTAGCAGCAATGTTTCACTGTTCATTTAAGAGTAAATGAAACAGAGATAACTTTGCAAAATGGAGAAGTTCCACAAAGGCAAATGATGAGGAGCAGTGGGAACACTGCAAGATTATTATGCAGCCTAGGCGGTTCTGCACCAGCTTTTTTTTTTTTTTTTTTGCTGTGTTATTTATGTGTCCTCAAATTTACTGCTTAACACATCTAAAAAGCTGACAGATGAAGGTCCTCTCTCACAGCAGAAACAGTGATCTATGGCATTTGCACTTACTGCCTGTAACTGTTAAGTGGGAACATGGGCTGCAGAGAAGTTAACGGACTTGTCAGTTGGTTTAGTCAGTTAATACAGAAGTATGGATTTCTTCATTACAGTAACATTCTTCAGTAACAATCATATGTCAGACCATGGAAGATGAAACTAATTATTCCCCATTTTGGGACATGCCTGTTCTGGATCAGCAGAGTGTTTTCAAGAATTCATCTCTTAGTTCATTGAATCAGCTTGCAGGGATAAGTGCCAGCTATTCCCCTTCCCCCTTTTTTAAGACTTAACATTTTCTTGGGTATATTTTAAAAATCCTGATTTGGGTAGCTTTTGCAAAAATGTAAAACAGGCTGCTGCTATAATCATTCCTGAATTTAGCCATGCTCTGATAACTGAAATGTGATCCCCATGGTTAATAAGCAACTAAGTGTGATTTCTGTTATGTTTTTTGATAGATTCTATTTATTTTGCTCTTGGAAGTAACAGCAATCATTTTATTATAATCCAAGTGTTTGTCTTATTACATGGAGTTTTGATTTAAATATTGGCAAGACATCTGTAAGTATTACCATTTCCATAGTTCAACTATGTCACAAGTGGGGTCCCCCAGGGATCAACATTGCGCTGAACTCTGTTCAGTGTCTTCATAAGTGATCTGGATGATGGGATCAAGTGTACCCTGATGAAGTTTGACAATGGTACCAAACTGAGTGGGAAGTGGACATTTTGGAAGGGAGAGACACCCTGCAGAAAGACCTGGGTAGGCTGGAAGAGTGGGCTAAGAATAGCCTTATGAAGTTCAACAAGACCAAGTGTAAGGTCTTGCACCTGTGAAAACACAATATAGGAGTGCAGCACAGGCTGGGATCTACCATGCTGGGGAACAGCTCTGTGAAAACGGACCTGGGGGTCCTGGTGGACAACAGGCTCAACAGGAGTGAAGAGTGTGCTGCAGTGCAAAGAAAACCAACAGGATGCTGGATTGTGTCAACAACGGTGTCACCAGTAGAGATAAAGAAGTCATTATCCCACTCTACTCAGTGCTTGTCAGGCCACACTTGGAATACTGTTCCCAGTTTTGGTGCTTGCTATACAAAAAAGATGTGGACAGGCTGGAGAGGGTCCAGAGAGGGGCCACAAAGATGATCAAAGGACTGGGAAGCCTGCCGTATGAGGAAAGGCTGAGAGAGCTGGGTTTGTTCAGCCTTGAGAAGAGAAGGCTTAGGGGTGACCTTATCACCAGATTCCAGTATTTAAAAGGTATCTGCAAAGAAGATGGAGACACCCTTTTTACAAAGTCACGTGGAAAAGACAAGAGGTAATGGCTACAAGTTACTCCTGGGGAGCTTCACATTGGACACAAGAGGAAAATTTTTCACAATGAGAACAACAAGCCATTGGAATAATCTCTCCAGAGAAGTGGTGGATTCCCCAACACTGAAAACATTTAAGATTCAGCTGGACTGGATGCTGGGTCATCTTGTCTAGACTGTGCTTTTGCCAAGAAAGGTTGGACCAGATGGTCCTTGAAGTCCCTTCCAACCCAGTATTCTGTGATTCTGTGATTCTATCATGTCGCAGTTCATGACTTGAGTGTTTAGCCCTCCTCCATGCCCTTCGACTGAGATGAATGGATGTGACAACCAAAAGCAAATATTTTGTAAGGAAATAAAGTAGTTGTCCTTTGATAGATGTAGCTATTTCTCTGGTCCCTGGTTTGTACATCAGGAGTAAGAAGGGCTGCACTACATCTCTAAAGCTACTTGAAATTATATCAAAAGTATTTGCCTCTGATGAACCCAGTACAGACCAAAATAAACTAAGACACTTTTCCACATTATCTGCACCTCAACAGTGGCAAATGTAGATGCAGTTCAAGGATACACTGAGCAGGACACTTCTGCATGCTGATGTGTTTCTCCGCTTGCATGCTAACAGACACAGCAGTGTTCACATCTGCAATGGATATACCCTGGTAGCTCCTTGGCACAGGAATCCAAAATAGGGCTATGTTTCTGTTGATGGGACCCAGACTGGTTACAGCCACAGTTGACAATTTATGTAATCTGCAATAAAAAGTCTGTTTTCGGTGTGGAAATTCTCACTAATGAACATCCTCCTCAATGAAACTGGGCAATTTGTCCATTAATTCACCACTCTTATCAGTGCCGAGAAGTATTCAACAGGAGACTAAAATTTAAAACTAGAAAGCTTGCAGCAGTTTTAATTTAATATCTCCGCCTTCTTTGTACAAATGATAAACATCTTCCTTGTTGAAAGTATCAGCTCAGCTTTTAGGGAGTATGGGACCGGTTAGGTGTGAGGTTTATTTTTTTTAAAAAAAGAAGCAGTAACTACAGTTACATAGTTCAAATCTGACTAAAACATGATCTGTAACTAAAGAATCAGGAGGATGTGCAACAAAGCAAAATAGCAATAGAGTTTCAAGCATAGCACTAGAGTCATCATGTCAGAGGCACGATCATAGGAGATAAACCCTTCAGCTTTTGGGGGCAGCTCTGTGCTACACAATGCCATGCAAGATCAACCTTTAATGAAGGGCAGTGTCCTGGGTTGAGTGAGTGGTGGAGTTTTTTGGTCGCAGGGGAGGGGGCTATAGGGGTGGCCCCCTGTGAGAAGCTTCTCGAAGCTCCCCCAGCTCCAAGTCAGCTCGACTTCTGTTTGGAAACTGAGCCCATCAGCTGCACCTCTGCGATAACGTATTTAAGAAGGGACGTGGTGACGTGCAGTGGGACTTGTGAGGAGGAGTTGCTGCAGCTGCATGAACACCAAGGTCAGTGGAGGAATGGAGGAAGAAAGGAGGGGGGAGGTGTGCCGGAGCAGAGACCCTCCTGTATCCTGTGGTGAGACGGCAGGGCGGCCCCCCCCTGCCACCCATGAAGATCTACGGTGGAGCAGACATTGATTTATGGCCTGTTGTTCCTGCTCGGATGATCAAGGTTCTGTGCCCGAAGAAGGCCGGGGTCTCATGGGAAAAGGTAGCCCCACTGCTGTAATTCAGCACTGGGAGGATTGCAGCATGCGGGGGAGTCCCACGCCGGAGCAGCTGGGGAAGGGCTGCAGCCGTGGGAGGGAATCCAGTCGGAGGAAGTTAGTGACCCATGACGGAGCAGTGTGGGGAACGCTGCGGCCCATGGGAGGAACTCATGTCGGAGAAAGTTTGTGAAGGACTGTCTCCTGTGAGAGGGGGACCACGATGGAGCAGGAGGAACAAGTTTTGGACACTCCCCTCACCGAAGATGAAGGAAGTGGCAGCGCTGACTGCACCCCCCATTCCCTGCCCCTGTGCCCCTGGGGGAGGAGGTAGAGATATCGGGAGCAGAGCTGAGCCCGGGAAGAAGGGAGGGGTGGGGGGAAGGTGTTCTCAAGATGTGGCAATGCTTCTCACTGTCCTACTCTGTTAAGTGTTGTTGTTAGTGTCTGTAATAAATGTATGTTCTTTTTTTCTTCCCCTAATGAGTCTGCCTTTTGCTCGTGATCATAAAGGAGAATTTTTCCCCATCCCAGTCCTATCTCGAACCCCAAGCCTGGCTCTCTGTCCCTTCTCATTGCCGGAGGGGAAGGGAGAGAGAGGTGCTGCATTGTGGTTGGCTGCCAACCAGGCCTAAACCACAACAAGCAGTTTTGAAGGAATTATTGGTGCCACATTATGGATGCCTCGCTGTTTACTTGCAAATGTTGCTTTTGCTGCTGCTTTGGAGTCTCCAGCTACAAAGTGGTGTAACTTCTAAAGTATTTCGGAAGAGTTGTTCCTGTGTCTCTTCAAGAGTTTTTCTATTAAAAGAGCAATCAGATTGGTATGCGTAACTGGGAGGAAGGTGAAAACAAATGGTTCTGTCCTTCAGTCAGTTATTTCAAATTCATTATTAAATTTGATGCCGTGAAATGCCACTGTTGAATAAGATTAGCAGGAAAGTGTCTATCACTTCTAGGATGAGCTCTGTGTGTATCAGTAAGGGGAGCAGCCATCTCAGGATGTAAAGGCATTGATGTTAATGAGACAAGGCGCACTACAGTGAAAATTGTATTTCTGAACGTTATAATACTTGATTCATTAAATTATTCAGGGAAAAAGGACCAATACCTGTGGGTCTCGATCCGTTAAAGTTGCTTAAGTATTTGATTATCTTTGGTGCTAGCAGTCAGAGAAATGTATGCATTAGGTGATCTTCTGGATTGGAAGGCAGGCCTAGGAAGTCATACCTAGTTTGCAGTTACAAACTCATGCTTTGCTCCAAAGCTGTTGTATTGGCAGGATGACAGGATGGTTATGATGACTCCTCCTTCTCTATCCACAGGTGTTCCCTTTCCAAAGAATTTCCTTCAGATCTGCAAGAAGATACTCTGCCGGCTTTTTCGGGTGTTTGTTCATGTCTACATCCATCACTTCGACCGCATCATCCTCATGGGGGCTGAGGCCCACGTCAATACCTGTTACAAGCATTTTTATTATTTTGTGACAGAGCTTAACCTCATAGACCGCAAAGAACTAGAGCCTTTGGTAAGTGTGGGGTCTGGGGAAAGCTCTAGGAAATTTTCCTCCTACCTTCACTGATCCTTTCCCACACCTGTTGCAGTGGGTTTCCTCTGGGAATGAGGTCCATGGTTGAACACAGGCAATTTAAAGGGATGAACTCTTGCCTCTGTCCATAGACCTTTTCTATCTGCTGTAATATTTGTGAGATGCTCAGTAGGCTCAGTAGAAAAAGTGCAATGTATTTTGTATGGAAAAATACAAGCTGGGAAATACTGCCATTTGAAAATAGAAGTTCATTTGTCTTATGCTTCTTCTTGTACTATATATTTTATATATAATTTATTCTGCCTTTTTTCATTGGTCAGTAACATCATAGCAGTCACCTGAATGCATGTGAAGGGAACAGTGGTCTATATAGAGGTGAATGGTTTTTTTTTTTTTTTGTTTGTTTGTTTTTTTTTTTTGGTTTTTTTTTTGTTTGGTTGTTTTTTTTATCTTTAAGTAGGTGTTTGTGAAGGTATTGAGTGTGTTAGATCGAGAGCACATTCTGGATCTAAATGAGACAGATGAGGTGAGACAAAGGTTCAGACAATTAGCAGTATAACAAAATGAGACACTTCCTTTGGACTGAAATAGATAAAAAATAAATTAATTGTTTCCAAAAGTAAGGCTCCAGAAATGGAAATACTTCTGCTGTTTCTTGCAAATGCAGATCAAATCAAATTGCAAGCAGAGAAGGAAAAGTAAGGCGTAATTCAGAAAACAGTTTATGTAGAAACCTTCACTATGGGCATTTATCCAACTTTAAAAGGGATCAGGGCAACATTTCTCCATGTGTCAGTATTTGGAAAATACTGTGTCGTAGAGCTTATTGATGAAGTGCTAGAACCACTGGGGTTTATTTTTTTTCCACAGAATCACAGCTGAAGTTGGCTGGCACCTGTAGATATCAGGTAGTCCAAATCCCAGCCCAAAGCAGTGTCACTTAGAGAGGGCTGCCCAGGACCACATCAAGTTTTCAGTTGTTCCATGTAAAGGCACATTGCAAGGGGGTGTATAGCGTAGTTGGTATAAAACACTTCTGAAAGTGTGGCAAAGTGATGTTAGCCTGCATTTCTGCAGGAATTGGAGTTGTTGCAGGTGTGGTACATGTATGTGCTTAAGTTGATTGAAGGAGAGACTGTAAGGTGAGACAAAATAAATGGTCTTGTTTTCAGCAGTTCACAAGGCCTGCTGAAAGATACTGTGTATGGCATGTGTTAGTAACTGGCAATGTATCTGGTTTCTTTCTAGATAGGAAAGCTTAACATGCCACCTAATGTGTCCTAAGGGATAGGAGGCCCTGCAAAAGAGAACTTCCCTCCCAGACTAGTGATCCTAGGTTAGCCATCACCGTTAAGTGCTGTGGATGTGTCATAAGCAAGATACAAGGCAGGTTATCTCAGAGGTAGGAAGAGATGCTATGTTAAGGCCATTGCAAGATCCTTCCTTGCTTTGGAATACAGAGAGCAGAAAAATGATTTAATGCTGCAGCTGGTGGCTAGCAGTATTCCTGCACTAAGCAGACAGATGAAGGATTGGGGCCAGTGTGGTGCAGGAGGTGGCCCCAGTCCAGCAGAAAAGCAAGCTGGAAATGTCTCCAGCTGGTGTGTGCTTTCCCCTTGCATTCCAGCACTCCCACCATTCACAAAATTGTCCTTAGGATCATCATATGATGCAGTATTATTAACTTCACTGGGATGCAGGGTGTCCCAGAAAAATGCTTCACCTCCACTGGGGAGGCACCACGTCAGCAAACTGACAAAGCTCCACCTGCTTTCATCTTTCTGTCCTTAACTTGAGTGGGTGTCAACAGTGTGGAAATGCAGAAAAAAACCCATATGTCTGTATTTTCATCTTCAACTGGGCAGGGAGAAGGGAAGGAGTTGCCAAACAAAAGCAGACATTACAAATAATCTTGAATTTTAATGCGGTAGTTGAGGACAAGCTGTGCCCTGCCAGGCTCACCATGACAGGAAATGAGCTCACATTATCTCCGTTAATTAGAAAATGGGCCAAGATATGATTAAGTAAACAGACTGCTGCATGCTTTAATAAACAGCAAGGCAAATGATTTATCAACATAACTTCAAGAAGGGAGAATAATTAGGGAAACAGGCAATAGATTAATAGTAATATTAGCCTTCAGGACTTATGCTCTTTCTTTAAAGTAGATTTTATCAGCCTTTTGCAGCCCAATGCAGCAGTTATAAAATCAAACTAAGCAAATGAGTCAAATAAGGTTCCCCCTCCCATTTGGGAGCTGCATAACTTCTCTGTTCTGCATTCAAAGAGGGGGCTATAGTTTAAAATGCTGCATATCTTTTTCCCATCCCCATCACTATGTTAATCTGACAGATCCCAAGTCTTTTGTAGAGCTGTTGTATGTGGGGACAAAAAAGGAAACTGGCACAGTCACTGACGCTGCAGGTGGTCCTGAGGGAAAAAGCACATGTCCATTTGGTTAATTTGGGGAAAAAGAAGTCTGAAAGCATATCTGCCCTTTCCTGAAGCTAACAGGCAGATGAAGCAGTCTGCACAGTGAGACCTCTCAGAAGACCTTCAAGGCATGCCTCCATGGGGAGGCTGTCAGGAAATAAGCTAAGGTTTGAATTTTAAGACGTGGCATCAGCTTTGTGCTGTCTGTGTGACTGGCTTTATTTTTCACTGGCAGTAGTTCTCCTTAACTCATGTCTGAGCTTCTCCCCATAGCCAAAACTTTCTAGCAAAGTGATGCTTGTTACCTCCATTCCACCCTCACCCTGTGTAGGTGACTGCTTGTATAGGGTGCTTTAAATGCTTCATCTAAACATGCTTTTTAGTGAGAATCTTAATGCAGCTGCCTCAGCACAGTAACTTACTGTTCAAATGGCAGCCCAGCTATGGCAAGTAATGCCCATCCACCTCCTTCCTGTGATCCCTTTTCTCTAACAATGGATTTCATAGTAAGTAGGACTTAAGAAATGTGCCAGAGTACTTTATAAGCACATCATGAGCAAGGCAGTCTTGGTTCAGGGAACTTTACTTAATTTATTGCCAGTTAAGAAATTTTTTATTCTAGATCTGGGTATTGAGGACAAAAATATAATTAAACAAAACACTTGGTCAGGAAACACCTTTCTTTCTCAGGCTGTAATTCAGTAAAAAACTTCTCTTCTCCCACCTTCTGGGTCTCATTTTACCTTGGTTTTGCTACACATTAACACTCAACTACTCTTAATCCCCTTGGTGATGTGAGGGGCAATGCAGGAGACCTGGGGATGTGTGTACTGCTTCTTGCTTCTTATTTGTTTTCCTCCACTCCAGAATGGGCTTACCGTGGAACACAGTCTCTCCATGGTGTCCCTGCTCTGGTGTGGGTTGCCCATGACCCACATTTTCCTCAGGGGTGTGCTGCTCTGTCACAGGGCATTTGCTTCCAACAGTACGTCTCCAACCGCATCCCCAGCAGTGCCACCAGCCGTGTGTCCTCTCCTCTTAGCAGCTGCTGCTTTCTTAAATACCTGTGAGCAGAACCACCATACGCTTCTCTGGTTGAAAGTTTATCAAATGGTGGGTTATTTGCGGTGGTTTCAGGGACAGCTGAAAGTAGCTGTGACTGGCACATGGCAGTTCATGGCCTCCCACCACAAGTGACCCCTGTAGCCCCCTGCTACCAAAACCCGGACAGTTATGCCCAGTACAGAGCATCCTCTGCAAAGTTAAGTCATACGCAATCTGTTGGTTAAAGCCTTGCTTTCTGTTTCCAGTTTTGTTATGGGTTTCTTGCCTGTCTCTGGGTAATAACTCTCTTCATGATTTTTCCCATGTGGATTATAAGAATATTTAGCATTTGGTAGAATTATTTTTAACCTGAATTCAACAGAGTTTGCAAAGTATTCCGATGCCATGAAATAAGAGTTATAATAAGAGTAGATCTTGCTCCTAGTGCAACTTCTTACCTTCAGCAGCAAGCTGGATAATTGACTCATACAAAAGGTATGGGAGGACCAAAACTTCCTGTGTTCCTTAACTTGACCTTTGTTCATTTGCTTTGAAGTTGCTTTAGGAGTTCCACTGATGAAAACGAGAAGTATGCAGGCACCACACCATCACGCTTCCTAGCTCTGTAGACTTCACATGAAACTAGCAGTCTCTTAGTCTGGGCTCTGAACTACAGATTCAGACCCTTGTTCTCCTTCTCTACCAGGGAAGATTGGGTATCTTCAGAATTGCTTCGTACAACACCTCCTCTCTATTAAAGTATTCTCAATTTATGCAACCTTATACTCCATCCTCACTTGCAAAAGGTGTAGCCCTTTGTAGTTAATATATAACTTGAGACCTGTTTTAATATATTTTCCTGGTACAGGCCACTCAGCTTTTTTACTTTTAAGAAATACAAGCTGCTGTATGCAAGGCAACGTAATCCCTTCCAAATAGTTCTTGATCTCTTTAGCTCAACACAACACAAATCATCATAAATCTGATTTTCCCTTAAAGAGAGGTGAATACCTTCTCTCGTATGCATCACTTTCCATTACTTCCATCTCAGAAGAGAAAGGGTAACTAGCAGGAATAAAGTACTGCTACAGGTAGAGCAGGTCCCCCTAAAGGAATCTATGATCTGAAAGTGTCAAGTGATGTGGCAGCATCAGGTCACAGAAGAAGTTTCTCTGGCATAAATAATATTGTTTCAAAGAAAAATAATTCTTCCTTCCATTCCTCAGTGTGAGGGTATCGGGTGTCTTTTTTAGCAGTAGCTGGTGACCACGTTCAGGTGCTTGGTTTGGCTTGGTGATTGCAGAGCCTGTTTACAGCTGCACTCCAAGCTTAGCTGAAGCAGGCACTGATCCTGTCATGAAACTTGAGGATCAGTGCAGCTACAGCAACATGACCTCTAGAAAGGGTGGGGGGAAGAAAAAACTAAAACCTTCTGAAAAGCAATAAAGTTAATGCCAGAAAGGCATTAAACCACAAAGTGTTTTTTTCTTTCCCCCCAGCAG